CATCTCATCTCCTACCTTTCCCTCCTCTCGTTCCGTATCCAAAGCCCTGCCCAAGTACCTGTCAACTTCCTTCTCCTGAATATCATCCAGCCTAACCATTCCCTGAAGCACTGATTACTGTAACCTCTTCCTTTCTGGCCTCTCACAACTTTTCCAGTCTGTCCAAATGCCACTTATAGACATCTTTCATTTCCCTGCGCTCTGATCACATCATCCATTCCCCCACATGCCACCCTCTTTATCCTCTTCCCACGGCAGAGTCCTATAAAAATCTAACATTCGTTTCTCTCTCTGCTTCTGTCTCCCTACTCCACTTTTCCTCCCAATGCTCTCTTAGGCCCAGATTCACAAAAGTATTTAGGTTCCTAACTTCCACTGATTTCATTAGACGTTATGAGCCTAAATACCTTTGTGGATCAGGGCCTAGATCCCTTTGGCTTACCCAGTCTCCTCTTATTCCCACCTTAAACCACTTCAGGCAATCTCTCCTTCCTCCTTATAAATATTTTCTTCACTAAGCTGTTTTCCTGGTGTACTGCATTTGCCTTGTCTTATTAGACTAACTTATTTGGAGCAGGAAATGCGTCTTCATGTACATAAAGTACTAAACAAATTATTGTTAAAAAACTGTGTTATCAGCTCAGCAAAGAAGGGCACAAAACCCCTCAACTCCTACTGAAGTCAATGAAAGTTGAGGGAGCTCAGGACATCACAGGATTAGGCCTTTTAACTTTTTTTTTTTTTTTTAAACCTTGAAGATGTTTCCACCACCTCACAAGAAAGAGTAAAATGTGGCTGTGTTGTAGTTATCAGTACAATGGAGAAAAGGACATAATGTATTACTAATGAAAATATTTTATATTTAGAAATGACAAAAATCTGCTGACAGCAGTATTCTTCTAACCACTATGTTCTTTCTCCTGCTTCTGAATCTAAAACAGTCCATCCTTATAAAGAATACTAAACAATACAATTCACTACCAAGGAAGCGTATTATTTACTAACACAGCTATCTGGAATTTTTTCTATTAAAACATTTTTTGTAAGATTACCATTAGACGTTCACAAGGTTGTCACCCCTCATTATATAAACTACAGCTGAGATACCCTGCATAAAAACAAGTATTGAGAATGCATCTTTATAAAGATACATTCAAGTTACATTGCTATCACTGAGATACATTCATTTATTATCATGCTAAAAATATTGTTTCATTGAGTCCATCTACCCCCAACATCTTTTCAGAATTTAGATTTGCCATTGTCAAATCCTCGAATAGGCATTAACCAGAAGCTCTGACCTACTCACTGCCTGTGCTCAAAGTCAACACAGGATTTGGGTTGGCTGAAACTCCTGAAGTTCCACACTTATAGCAGCCTAGGTTTAAGACACAGGGCCCAATTCTCCACTACCTTGCACCTTTTATAGCAATTTTACACCTGTGTAAAGTAAGCGGAAAGTGGGTGTAATATACCACCTTTCTGATTTAGTAGCACTTTACACAGGTAAAAGTATTAGCCAAGGTGTAAGGCAGTTGAGAAACAGGCCCAGAATTGATAACCCACCGAAACGAATAGGCAGTTCACATTTCTAGCAAAATTTCAGTCCACTCTTCCACAGCTGGAGTTGGAAAACCCATGCAAAAAACTTCCTCCATAGGACCTCAATCACAGCAGGGATTTGGCGGAAGCGGTAGCAGATTTACCTCTGCATAGATCCACTAAATAGTAGAGGTTCAAGTAGTTGAGTTACATTAGAAAGGACAGAGCAGCCAGATAGAGAAGAACACCACACAGACTACATCTCTGGGCTGTGCACTGGTGGTAGAATTTGGGCCTTAGATGGTTCAGATCTCTATTTTTTCAGATTCAGGCAGACCTGACTTCCTCTGTTCACATTCCAGTGGGCTAGAAAGCTACTGCCTTTTTAAAAAGGGCAAGTTCTGCAGCAATGGCCAGGAAAAATTTCCTACTTGCTACTAATGAGTTGATGTGTTAAGATCCTAAATTACAAGTTTTAATGTATCTGCTCTAGCATTTCCAAGTTTATCAATTTAAGCTAAATCCTTACCACCATTTGAATGTGGTTTGCCATATTTACTGACTGTACTTTGCAACACATTTTTCTGTCAATTAATGTGCCCCAGAAGTAATCTTTCCTTTCAGGACTCAACAAGTCAACACAGATCAAAGCTGAACTATTTTCACAAGCCTGTCAAGTTATTCATTTTCAGTATTAATCTAAAACAGCGTGACAAGTATTATTATTATTATTTAAAAACATCAACCATTTTGTCTTCTGAGCATGCCACACATGCAAAATCTGCTAGTTCTTTTCCATGCTTCACCAGCACCTCAATTTCTAAATTGCTGTGTTAGACTTTAATTTATTCCCCTCGGGAGTAACCCAGTTAATGCCGTCATAAAACACAGGTAAGAACTATTTTATTCAGATACACACAGCACAAAGTATTTGAAATCAAAGTCAAAGCAAGCAAGTTATAGAGACAGAACTGTAAGATGATTTGATATGTGCTGCTTCAATACAAAGGGTTGTCAGCTTCTGAACTCTAGTCTGAAGGGATTTTACATCCATTTTTATCTAGTCATGAGTCACTAGGTCCAAGTGTTTTTCTACAACTCTGACAAATTAGATACAGCATCTCCTGACTGAGTCAATATTTCAGAAGATCTTCTAAGCCTGTTATGAATGCACATAAGTAATCCCATTGAAGTCCATTGGACTACTTATGTGCTTGAAGCACGCGCGTAAGCATTTGCAGGATCAGGGCATATGCTTATACATTCATATCTCCAGCAAACCACAGAAGAGTGAAGTCGTCATGACTTGGGGTCTAGATACCATAGTACAGTGTATCCTACCCCAGGGGTTATCCAACTTCATAGTGTAGCTCACGTTATGATTTTATTGTGGATACCTCACTTCCACTTGAATTATGTCTTTATTTGCATGCTCTTAATTTAATCTCTCCTTTTTATGTGTTCTGTTCCTCCCAGACGGAAACAAAGAGGCAGCTCCATTTCAGAAGCTAGATCTCTGTGGACCACCAGTAAGCATTGCCCAGACAAGTTTGAGAAACTGTAGACTAGAATGTGTGGTGCACCAACAACTTCTTCACCTACTTCAGCACTAGTGCATTGCTTAAGAGAGGTTTCAGATCTCTATTACTTACAACATAAGTAAGCTGAGGGGAAGTAAGTTGCCATTTTTATTCACTGTGATGCTAGCACTGTTTACTTCAAGTCCTTTTATTTTTCAATTTAGACTGCAGCACCAGCATGAGATTAAAAGTCTCAGAAACTAATTTCTTATTCAATGGCTGCAGAAACTGAGAATAATTGATTTTATCCAGCAGACTCAACCAGCCAAAGAGAGTAGCAAATCCCAGCTCTGACACACACACATTCACACTCTGTTCATTGTAGTTACCAATAATGGGATGTTGGGAATGGATGTGGGGGTGGGGGTGGAAGGAAAAGTTGGTTATGTCTGATGTTTTATTGATTAAACTCAGCTCCCTCCCAGTCTGACCCTCTGAACAAGTGAGATGCAGACACTGCCCTGGGCTGGGCCATGGGGAGGGAGAGGGCCTAGTGCCAAGGCACATCCCAGCCTCCCCCCACAACAAGGGAAGCAATAGGAGAGCCCTGGCCAGCGACCAGGGAAGAGGACTCCAGAGGAGGAGAAACTTGTGTTGTGGGGGCAAGCTGAGAATCCCCCAAAATGGAGACCAAAAGCAAGTGGGGAAAGGAAAGAGCAGGGAGAGATGGGGGTGCCAGAGTGGGGGAGCAGGAACAGAAGGCAAGATAAGGAGACGACACAGGGAGGACAGCAAGGCAGGGGCAGATAGGGTTGGGGCAGCAGAGCAAGGTGGAGGCAGAGCACAGCAGGGAAAGGACAAGAGAAGGGGTTGGGGCAGCAGAACAAGGGGGACCGGGGGAGAAGGAACCAAGAATGGGGATTGGGGGAAAGCAGGAGACACGAGGGGTGGTTGAGGGAGCAGAGCAAAGGGGGGGTAGAGCACACCAGGGACGGAACAAGAGGGAGGGGTTGGGGAGCGGAGTAAAGGGGGGCAGAGCACAGCAGGGAGGAGACAAGAGGAAGGATTGGGGGGCAGAGCACAGCAGGGAGGGGACAAGAGGGAGGGGTTGGGGAGCGGAGTAAAGGGGGGCAGAGCACAGCAGGGAGGAGACAAGAGGAAGGATTGGGGGGCAGAGCACAGCAGGGAGGAAACAAGAGGGAGGGGTTGAGGAGCGAGAGTAAAGGGGAGCAGAGCACAGCACAGCAGGGAGGGATAAGGGGAGTGCTGGGGGAGCAGAGCAAAGAGGGAGGGGATGGGGAGCGGAGTAAAGGGGGGCACGAGCACAGCAGGAAGGGATAAGGGGATGGGACTGGAGGGAGCGGGAAAAGGGGGGCAGGTGGGAGAAGGAACCAAGACTGGGGGTTGGGGTCAGGAGGGGCGGATGGCGAGGGAGCGGAACAAGACCG